GTCATTTAAAAGGGTAATTCTACACTGAGCACAAGTGCATATTAAGTATCACCTTTATCATCTGAACAAAGCAAACCTAACTGCACATTTATGAATCTAAAGATTAAAGCACCCTTCCCTGGTACCACACAGACACCTCACACATGCTTCTCCTCAGCTCGAGTGAATTTTCCATTAGCATTCTGATGTTGGCCTCCTGTATGTCTGCAGAGCAGTGTTTCAGTTCTACAGCCCAGTAATCTCTCTTCAATCTGTTTGGGGAATACCTCCTGAAAGCCTATCCAGTAAACAGCTTGTGAGAGGGGGTGGGTGGAGGTGTCATTCTGTTCTGAGTGCAGTGTTGTTGCCCGTACCTCTTCTGTCTCACTGCTGTCATTGCAAGTATTAGTTTTATTTAAGTGGGATATTATTAATCTATTAATGCTGCATAAAATGTGAATTTTATCCATGAAAATAATATGTTGGACAATCATTAAAAAAACTCTATGTTTCTATCTGTATGTTTATATAGATTTATACATCTCCCATGGGACACTTTTAGAGTTGCAGTGTTTTAAGAGCAAGCGGAAGTCACCTGAGATTATGGAATATAGAAATATTAATGTGAAGGCAAACATTTCTATGAACTAAGGCATACAGTATATTCATTTCACAATTCCACATTGCGTAGAAGTTCCTTTAAACAGTTACACTTTATTTCACTGTGAATCTGACAAAAACAATTAAGATTCACATTCTCATAATGAATATAATGTACATGTACAGACATAGGGAGAGTGCAGCGAGAGTACTTGGTTTACATGGTCATTTCCCAGTTTCCCATTCCTAATTATCCCATACAGTATGTGTTATTAGAAATTAAGGTCATGACTCAGACCAATGAAGTGTTGCAGCAACTACTTTCTTGACATGATCGTAGATCTGTTGGTCCTAAATGTAAAATCACATGACCTTAAAAATATTTGGAGACAAACAAGGTACCAGAAGATGTCCTCCTGCTAAAAGGCAATGGGTTTGGATTGCCACAGACAGATGATTTGTTGAAGCATCTTGAGGAGAATACTAGCCAGCAGTGGATTGTGTACTATTATCATACACAAAGATCTGTCAAATTCTCGATAGTGGTGGCAACAATTTAGCAAAAAATAAAAATGAGGTTTCCAAAACAATCAATATGCAACTAATTAAACTGGTGCCATGATTGTAATTCTAAACTTTCTTCCCAAAGACAGGTAAATACATCCCAACTCGGGTTCTATAAAGACAACAGCTACTGTAAATGATTACCTGACAATAAAAAAGTAATGCTTAATTTATCTCAATGATCCCAAGCTAGTAAACTTTTCAAGTTTGCAGACTACACCGGAATAGGGGGATTATAAGAGGAAGTGCTTCTTTACACAGCTGTGAGCGGGAGCTTAGAACAAGCTACTGTACATTCCCATGTTGTTGAAGTCGATACCCTAACTTCATTCATGATAAAAAGGCTGGATGAGATCCTCGGATCAACTAGTTACTAATTAACAAATGTGTTTGATTGGCTGAATGGCCTCACCTCTTTTGTAGCTGTTCCTTACGTATGTTACTAATAGCAATAGCAGTTACAGTGCATTTTCTTTGGTAACAGAAGTCACAGCCATGAGACAACTCAATTCTTGGCAGTGATTAGAAAAGCTAACCAGGGAAATGCACACAAATTGGAGGACTCAGGTAATTCCAGGAAGTCCATTGAGATCCATACAAAATGAAACCCAAAGAGAAGGCATTACTTTTTCAGTTTTATTGGGTTTTGCCCAAGTTGCCACAGTGTAATCAATCTGGGAAATTACTTAAATGAATCAGGCAAACACTATCAAGCCAGGGTTGTGCTTTTGTAGAGCCCAGCTCATAAAAAGCTCTTTATAAATCATGTTTTAGGACTCTGCTCTGCGTCATTCATTCCATTTCTACTGCCCAGATGCCCTCTAGTCTGACTCAAGAGACCACATATCCACCAACCATTTTCACCACCTCTCTACCATGTTACTGAACAGTGATTTATTTGTCATACCCCAGACATCCTCCCTTTTGTCCCTGCATCTTACTGTATGTACAGATAATGCAATTTGTTTTTAAAAACAGAAAACTGCTATAGTGTATAAAAACTCCAGTCCACTGGGGTTGAAATTCTGCTGATTTTACAGATAACTTTAAATTCCAAACTGAAGGAGAATATGTTATTTCTTAATCAAGTGCCCACTTCAATTAAATAATTAAACACAGAAGAAATGAAAACAAAAGAATCGAAGACTGCAGCTTCCCATTCCCAACTGTATCCATCTCAGATGGTCTCTGAATTCTTGAACCTTGTGTTGCTATGATGATAAACACAGAATGTGAGTTTCCAGTGAAAAATGTTCTTTATTCATGAACCAAATGCAATCATGACTTTTCACTAGTGAATAAGAAAAACCTGGTACTTTAAAAATAACTCTTTGCTCACTTTCTTATAAAGGTCTCATTGATTAATATTTTGTAGAGGATGCAAAACATATGATTATGTGTGAATAATTCACATAACTAATTAATTGCACTCATACAGTGTTTCATGCTAAAGGATCCCAAAGTACTTTGCATACAGGAGGGAATCTACTTGATTTACTGTTGAACTACAGCACCCAACTGGGAGAAGGTTCATAGCTTGCTCCTCTCCAGCATCAGGCATCAGGTAGATTGGTCTTCACTAATTATATTAAATTTCATAATTAAGCCAGTGCACTGGGGCTATCACCTCTTCGTTTCTATTCTGTGCCATACAATCTTTAATAAGTAAGCAGACAAGAACTCAGATTAAAGCCCCATCATCTAAATGATAACACCTACTACAGCACAGTATCCCTCATCACCACACTCAAGAAGTGGTTAGGACATTTTTGTCTAGAGAGAAAAATGCCACCAGCACCACGTGTAGCAACTTGGTTTTCATCAAAGATCTCACATTCCAATATTAATCCGAGTTGACTCACTTTTTTAGACCTAATGAGACTGGGCCAAAAGGTGATAATGCTGCTGTTGCCAAGTTTACCTGTACAGAATTAGAAATCAGTTTGGAGTAACAGCATCCTGCAATAAAAACACATGTACTGACATAGCTTAATTAAGACATCTTAGAGCAAATGGAGATGCAGTAGTGTAGACACATACTGTACTGTATGAATAACTAGCATGTTAAAAAAGAGGTAATACTGCTTAGCTACTCAGAATATAAAGAGCTATATAAAGTGTAAATATCATAGCTGTGGCTCTGGACCCAATTTAGAAATTAAAGATTCTCAAAAATGAATCCAAGAGCTATCATGACTAGGTTTCACAACAGAAGACAAACTGAAGGAAAAAATTCTGGACATGGAGATCATTAATGTTTTTACTAATCCAAGTTCCTACAGTAAAATCAACGTGGATATTTTTAAATTTTTAATCAACTGTAAAATTAATTTCTCCAATCAAGGCCACTAAGGGAAATGGCAAGAAGTGTCCATTCTGTCTCATAGATATCCGATTTGTCTCTGTCACTTTTAAATGATCCACAGTTTGAGCATGCTTGAAGCATAATTACATATTAAATATAAAGCTAGTCAATTAGAAAAAACTAATTTCATTAAATTTTGTCTTCTGGACAAAATTTAATGACGCATGCTTGTACTTCATAGTTAGAAACAGGAACACAAGCTGAAAATTCCACACGAGGTCTCATGCTACAGTAAATTCAACTGCTATCACAAATCACAAACTTAGTGGCATTCACAAAATTGCAGCACTGCATGATGTATTCAGAACTTTCTTGTTTGTCGATTTGAAATATACTCAATGGCAGGCAAGTCCTATGGTTCAGGGAGTGTAACCTGTTTCAGCTACAGTATGTTGTCAGTATGTCTGCCTTGGATACCTCAAAATCTTTAGCATAAACCGTTCTTTAAGATTAAGATTACAGATATCTTTTCTTTTAATAATGTTTAAATATATCTTCAATTTTAATTAAAAAAAGTACAAAATAGAATGTTGATGCAAAAAAGCTCCTTTAGGCATCACATGTTTTCTTTTCCAGTTTCTTTAGAATTCTTTCCCTCTATAATGAGTTCACAGGAAATAGGGAAAAAAATGTTGTTGTTTTTTTATGAAAGTCAACAAAGGTTGTGGATATAGTGCTCCTAGACAACATGTGGGGGAAATGAAAAATAGTTTTGGTGAATGCAGTTAAAGAAATACCCCATAGGATATACTATGGATGAGTGTCCCTATTGTGTTCTGACTTACAGTACATGTACTGTACCAATACTGAACAAATTCCAAATGTTTTTTTTTAAACCACACCTAATGACTATGAACCATGAAGTTTAAATAAAAAATATAAAAGTATGTTTATGTAGTCTAGAAGACTGTGATCCAAATGTAACATATTTCTTATAATAAAATATGTATTTGTCAAACATAGTGTGACAATGAAACTGTTGGTTAAACTGTCCATAGATCTAGACCTTCAAGTTCCAACAGTTACTTTCTCATTTGTCAAATATGTTAAGCTTGGGGACATTGCCAGAACATCAGCAAGAAGAAAAACAAGTGAAAAAGGGCATTATAAGGGCAAAACGTATGGTATTTATTCTCTGCCCACTCTTCAAGATGGTCCTTGCTGTTAACCCGATTAAATATTTAAACATAGAAATAATTTGGTTGACTGGTCTCACAGTTAAAAAATGTTGGAGCTATGATGGCAGCTTCTGCATTCCTTCCTTCTGGCATTGTTTGAATATTACCCTGTCTTGCTATAATTTATATTGTATGGAACTCTTGATCACATGGGTCCATGTGCCTATGCTTGGACTGCATCTGCTGATTATTACAACCTATTGTGGCTGCTGTTTCTGTATATTTTTAACCAAAAATAGTTCACAGAAAAAATTACAGATGGAACATAGTTACCTATGGGAAAGCTGCAAAGAGACACAAAGGGAAGTACTCACCACTCAGGAAGGTAGCCACAGTAGCTGTCAAAGATATAAAAAAAGTTTAATATTAACCTTAATGAGAAAATATGAAAAGAATAAATAATTACTGTATAAAATAATGAAAAACTATATCTGTGAGTTGCAGTTTTATTTGCATTGGTCTTTATGATGCTTTCGACCCAGAGCTACTTTTCAAACATTTTACGGTATATTGCAAAAATTGTGGATTTCAGTAGATGCGTGCATACAGTACTGTGCAATTGAAAGTTAATATTACTTAAGAAATCAATCAAAAGTGGGCTTAATCTGAACCGATCGATCAAGGTTGCACACAAGCTAATGCAAATGGAAAATACCTGGAAATCTGAGTCTTTTTTTTACAAAAGAGATTTTTAGTATCCATTTCTGGGCATGGCATCTTGATGAAAGGAATTAATCAGTTTCTTCATAAAAATACCTAGTATTCCTCTATTTACCAAAGCCTAGGTATCAATGCCAGCCAATATAGATGTGTGCCAGCAGTGCTCAGGGTGAAAATGTACAGAAACCAATAAAGATAAAAACAATCATAATAAACCTGTTTGTGTTTTAATTTTATGCAACATACAGCATACTGTAGTGAATACTGTGTGCTGATACTGGGAATATCAGAAAATGTACATTTCAAAATGTAACATTCAAACTTGAAGTAGTTAAAATGTAAGGGGACAATTTTAAAAGCTCACACATTAAATCAAGTTAATAACATTGTTACACGGTGCTCTTTATTCTGCTCCATTTATAATAGTATCTCACTAATGCCATTTTCAAAACTTGTCCATAACTTCTTGGTATATATTGTAGTTAAGGAACTTAGTAAACATAAACACTGTCTGCAAAGCAGATCTGCCATTTCTCTGTGTAATTACTTTTCAAACTACCAAATAAATAAATCAAATAATAAAAAATGTGATTCTCTTATACCTCAGTTAATTCTTAATTTAGAACATTGTCCAGCCCTATTCTTACCTGAAATGCCTACCCTTTATGCTGACATATCCTTAAGTGACTTAGCAATTATTATCCCCCAGAAGGGTTTTTTTTTAAAAACTTTACTCTTTTTTCACTATTTTGAAACTGTAATAATGAGTATATGTAATAAAGAAAAAGAAAATGGCGGATATTGAGAAGTTCACAGTGGACAGGTAAAGCTAAGTAGTCAGGCAAACAAGTGAATTTAAATACTGTAGCGAATACTGTAGCAGTTATTGACTCAGCTCTTTGACTGGCAACACTTCATAAGCCTTCATTGCTTTACTGCACAGAGCTTAAGGAAGCTTTAAGAGTCAGCAGTTTCAGCACTCCTGTGTTATTATACTCTTAAACGTCTTATTTTCTAATCAGTAGGTTGCCCTCCACACATTGCGCCCTCTAAAAAGATGCCAGTTTATAAGAGCCTTGGGTAATAATCTGAGGAACTGTAATTATCTAAATGTGCAGGTGCTTACAATAGGAAATTATGATTTGGGGTTCTTTCTCTTTTCCTTTTGACCTTCAACTTTAATTTGAATTAAAAACTTTTTCAATTAAAACAGATTTTCTTCAGGAATTTTGTTGGAAGATATCACTCGACAGTCTCACAATCAAGCAAATCTGGACTCTTAAGACAGAGTAAGGAGAGAGTTATTTTATTAGCCCTGTGCTTCCTGTAAATGTCTCTGCCTTTCCAGTCCATTACTTGTACCACTTTCCAATATTGTTCAAGCACAACATGAGAAACAAGAACTATATGATTTCTCCCAAAACATGCACTGCTAAAACAAACATCTTTCATCTCACAATATGATCCCCACACCTATTGGACAGATCAGTGTTGTGGCCTTTATTGGTAACACTTTGAACTCAGGGGACTCTGTTACTGGTATTTAATAAGAATTAAATGCATTAAAATTTGTCATAAATAATTAAGTGAATTTCAGTGTCCATTTAAAAAGTAATAAGGTGACTGGTGTAGGAATAGGACACAAGAGTATTTTGCTACCAAAGCTTATCACACAAATGAGGGAGGCAACTGTTAACCCAAAGACAACAGCTAGAGATCTCCTATACATACATTTTCAGGATATAGAATTGAGAAAACTACCATTAGATGTCACTTACATATCAACTGTATATCAGCTGTGTGGGAAAGAAGAAACCCTTATCTGAGGGAGATGACAAAAATACCAAAAATCAGAGAAAATACAAAATGAAGGTACATACAGTACTGTAGGAAATGATGGAAGATGGAACACTTTTTTAAGTACTTACAGTATATCGAAATAATAATATTAGAAATAAAACTGAAGAAACATTTCTTTTCTCAGCCCTGTTTCTCCCAAACAACCAGTGCTTTGTAATAGGAGCCCTATCAACAAATTTGGGCAATATTAATGAATATGCATTAAATATGCATTGACGTCATTCTTGTTATACCAAAAAGAATCCTAAATGAGCTGCTTGGACCTCAAGCTGTATCTGAAAATATCCCTCTTTGGCCTTCTGACCCCAGCGAGTAACCATAATGATATACTGAAGTCTTCGATTGATTGCACCGGAGTGGATCAACTAAAACCAAGGCTTTTCAAATGTACAGTAATTAAAAATCAAACCACCTGCTTCTACAACTAGCCTTATTAATGCTTATACTGTATATGAAAACAAATTACACACAGTATGCAGTATTTTAACTACTCTAACATTGCTCATTCACTGGATTGGGTCACACACAATTAGGAATTAAGAAAGAACCTTCTTTGGCATTTAATGTAATAATGCCTTACACTAGTTAACAAGGATATGCTAATAAAATAATACAGTATAATTAAATAATTAGGATACAAAAGCCATGAGAAAACTTATAGCCACCTATAACTTGTTCTCCATCTAAATGCAATGTTAATAAAACTGTTGAGTATTTCCTTATTAAAGAGTTAATATTTCCTACAAAATCATATTAATTTATGAATATGCTTTAAGTACTATTTAGTACTAATATAGCTTACACATGAGAATCTCTAATGTATGCAAATTAGAAAAAAATCAATATAATCATAATATGCTCATAATATTATGAGCATATTATGTATTGTATTCTCCATTATTACAATGTGCAGTGTTGTACTATAGTAAAAAGAATAAAAGCTGATCAATTGTGGCCAAAGAGAACTCCATCCATTCATTTTCTAACCTTTTTATCCGATATAGAGTCACAGTGGAGGAAGAGCCTATCTACTGTAAGTAAGCAATGAGTGCGAGACAGAATATACCTTGGATGGGATGCCAAAGAGAACAATTCAACTAAAATGCTCCATCCCTCCAAACATACATCCGATGCTTACAGTATGTTTGGAGAGTTTGTCATATTTATATACTGTACTGTTTATTCAACTGATCCCAACACTGAATAGAGCTAATGTTATTATCAATAGCCTGGATTGACTGATGGGTATTGATGTATGGATCATTACTTCCAAAAAAGAACAAAGCCACCTTTGACCCTGATACAGCTAGGCCCTGCAAATGTTCACTGTCACTCCTTTCCAATTACACTTTTTGCTAAAAATCATTATAATGAAGTATAGAAACTATCAAGAAAAAAATGCCTTTCCAGGGTGTACTATTAAAATCTATAACAGCTACTGTATATGTGAGGATTTTCCCAAAATTACGTTTACAGTCTAGTTAGAGTTACGCAAATATTTCACACTGATAATACATGATCATATAAACAAACGAATCAATTAACTGATTTTGCAGTATTATGGGGTGTGAGCTACAGTATGTATCTACAACCACTGAAAAGTCTCTTAGATCAGAGCCCCAGTTTTGTATCTCAGACAAAGAATAGAAAATATGAGTGTATAAAAAAAAATAAAAAAATATGAAAATATTTAAGTAGTCAGTGGCACAGTCAGAGCTTTAGTTGTGGATTTTGATTACAATAATATTTTTACTGGAGTGAATACTGTATGATATATTTATTTGCTTTCTGTGATGTGAAGGTATGGAAAATTACTCTACTTTACTTTCATTAGAAATGTACATACTGTATGCTGGGATATAACATCTGACATAAAATGCAATATAAATTAATAAAAAATGCATGTCATCCATCATAAAATCATATTGATCATATCAATAAGGTTAAATAAACATTTGTAAGTGGAAAATATTATTTTAGAGCATTTAAGAACATTTAACAGAGCACTTTATTGTATAGAAATAACAACAGAAATATTGTATAGAAATAGAGATCTTCAAGAGGTAAAATGTTTTTTGTTCAGGTTACCTACAATGTATAAGCAATAAAATTAAAGGATCTGAAAAAAAAAATTCAGGCATGGAAAACTATCTATTAAAAATATCAAGATTAAATATAGATAACAAGTAGATTCAGAAAAAAGGAAGAAGGAACAATTATTTCTTTAGAATCAAATATGGACATATCTAGCCCATGAGGTACTGTACAAGTAGTAAGTAGTAAATTGATCCAACAATTTCATCCAGTTGTTTCTCAAAACAAAAGTACTGACTTCAATAATATGTCTGGGTAATTTACATCTTGCTCCCACAGTTCCACACTCCAACAAATGTCTGTAAAACCTCATATATTTTTTACGGATGTGCATTAAGCAGACCCTTATTCAGCAGTAGATGATGAATGTTTGGAGGCCATTTTGTAATGGGAAGTGAATAATGGAATTGTGCTGCAAGCTTTTAATTCCTCTGATCAGAATGAGTCTTCTGCACTTAATTAAATTAACTTTAAATTATTTTCACAAAGCCTCCCCAGGGTGCTTCCATTCTGCTGATTCCAGGCAGGTGTGGTGGAAGTCTTTCCTGGCACACACACAGTCTTTTTGCTGAATCAATTGGTACTTAAAGATGCAGGAAAAACCATTGCAGAGTTGTCACCTATTCCAAACCTGCAGCCAGGGTTTCTTTCAAAACAGAATCAGAATCAATTTCAGACTGTTATATTAGGGTGTCTAGATGTATTTTATATTTCTGTATTAGTA